TCATAATATCTGTTCTGCATGTTTCTTTCCATGTAGCCCCTGGAACCTGCTTACATAGCACTGGTTGGGAATAACTGCATTAGGTGTCAACATCTCGTAAAGCTACTGGAATGGGGCAGCTGAGGCGTTCAGCCGACTGAATGAGTGCCAAACGCACTGGCCCATTTCAGGACACAAGTACCAGCTGGTGGCCGTTTGGTTCGCTGGTGATAATTCAATATGATGTACCTTCGGCTAAAGCTGGATAAAGGGACTTATTGGAACAAGTATAAGGCAAGAGTCACAACAACGTAGCTGTTTGTTATTTGCTCTGGGACAATTTCTCCTTTCATGTTTCATGAGAGAAATCAAAAAGTCATACAAGTTTGGAACGACGTGAAAGTGAGTAATGAATGACAATTTTCGTTTTTGGCTGAACTATTCCTAATTAAGTCAAAAGTGAAACATTCAAAGAAAGCCTCTATTGGACCTGTAAACCTCTTGGCAGGTGGGGAGAGACTTTCACTAATACACAATGTTCAAGGCCTAGGAGGCGATTTGTTGCTTAGTCAGCCTATACATCTGTTAATGTAATCCAATCCTAGCAATCCAACTCAGATAAGGAAGCTGAGTTTTAATGCTGTTAGATTTATGCTAGTACTGCTGAGAGTCAAATTACGGTTCTGGCTTCCCTTTAGGAGTGAACACAACAGTTGTAACCTAGTTACACAAACTGCTTTCCACACTTGAGTCTTGTTGCATTACAACTGGTGGTGTCATGAATTACACGATATGTAGATGAATTACTCAAATTAATCAGCATTTGCGAACATGAGCACCGCAAGTGAAGTCAAAAGTATTTAAACTTTGAAAATGCATCTTGAGACCCCTTTGGTCTAGCAAAGGCTGGATAAAGTCAGTGTGGTTGGTGGATGGTTAAACTATTAAAAAACATATACAATATGTAGTGAACTGAAAAAAAATGGTGACATCCCATGACATATATATATATATATATATATACATACATACTGTATATGTGTGTGTGTGGATTCTCTACAAAACAGGGCAGGATTCATTACTAGAAAGCATTCCACTGCTGTTGTTTTCATTTGATTCATTTCTCTACATCTATTCCAAGAATGCCCATATCTTGATCAAGTCAGTAATGCTGATGACGTCCCCAGTCGACTGACTGATATCAGATGAGAAGCAGCGTGAGTGAATGAGAGAGTGAGCTGAAAGAGCAGAAACCAGTATTCAGTCAAGTCCAACATTAACAGCTTTTATAAGTTTATGTATGCTTTTTTTTTGCCTGGGGGCTATTCATAAGAAGTTCAGAGGAATATGTGTTTTACGTGCGTGAAAAGGGAAGCTGAATGGCACACTATGCTTAAATATTTGACTGTGAAATTTGTATTCATGCACACACATGTTGATTAGACATCCGGCTCCGGATGTGGCCTGCCTCGCACGTATGGTTGTTTCAGACTCAGAGACTAGAACAGGTTTCTTAATAATTACATTTTGCCTTATAACAACGCCACTAAAATTTAAAGTTCTCTCAAAAGTACATAAAACTAAACTCATTCCAAGGAATTTTATAGATGGCAAATGAGATATTTGTGATTGAGGGTGACTTGGAAAATTGGTTGCTTGCGTTTTACTTGTTTAGTCAAGCGTGGCCTCAGACAGCACCGTGAGGATTCCCATAGGCATTTAACACAAATGTTGTTGCTTTGAAAGGGAATTAGAACTGGCAGTGCCACAATTTCATTTGGCATAACTGAAATGTCACAGTAATCTCTGTCTTACTGTTTACTGATACTTTGACGCAACTGTCCTACATCAAAGAAAAAAGAAGGCTCTTATGTAAGTGAGCTAAATATTGTGGTGCCGAGGAGTCCAGATGCACTAGTGACCAGCGTCTGAATTCGTTCAGTTATCTAAAATGCTTTACGATAACAGTTTATTACCCACTATTTCTCATTTTCAGACTTTTCTTCATGCTTATGTGTCTTAAAGTGACAAAAAAAAGAAAATTCTGTCATTATTCACTCACACTCATGAAATCCTCTGACTTTCCTCTGTAGAACACAAAAGAAGATATATTAAGATAATATTAAGAATTTGAACATTTTTCAAAAGAAATACTAAAGTAATTATCCAGTAATAAAGTAATTATCTCTCAGAGTCTTAGTTTCCTACAGAAAAACATAAATGAAATAAATAAATAAAATAAAATGGGAACAAATATATATAAAACAAGTCAAAAAGGTGTAACAAATGTAAACATGAACTGCATCCTCTGTTTCAAAGAAGATGAATATAAATTGAGGTATTTATTCACAGGCCTTCTTGTCTATGATCTAAAAATTCAGCTTGAAAGGAATCGTTGCTTTTGTCTATTCTCGGCACTCAGTCATTTAAATGCACAACCGTGCAAAATACAGTCACATTTGCATTTGAGGACAGCATTATAGTCCTCTCTTTAGCAGGGGTTTTTAAAGAATAATATTTTATTATTTTTGTAGAGGTAGCATAAAAGCAATCCTGCTGAAATGTGGTAGGTCTGTTTATTGACATATATATATATATATATATATACATACATACTGTATATGTGTGTGTGTGGATTCTCTACAAAACAGGGCAGGATTCATTACTAGAAAGCATTCCACTGCTGTTGTTTTCATTTGATTCATTTCTCTACATCTATTCCAAGAATGCCCATATCTTGATCAAGTCAGTAATGCTGATGACGTCCCCAGTCGACTGACTGATATCAGATGAGAAGCAGCGTGAGTGAATGAGAGAGTGAGCTGAAAGAGCAGAAACCAGTATTCAGTCAAGTCCAACATTAACAGCTTTTATAAGTTTATGTATGCTTTTTTTTTGCCTGGGGGCTATTCATAAGAAGTTCAGAGGAATATGTGTTTTACGTGCGTGAAAAGGGAAGCTGAATGGCACACTATGCTTAAATATTTGACTGTGAAATTTGTATTCATGCACACACATGTTGATTAGACATCCGGCTCCGGATGTGGCCTGCCTCGCACGTATGGTTGTTTCAGACTCAGAGACTAGAACAGGTTTCTTAATAATTACATTTTGCCTTATAACAACGCCACTAAAATTTAAAGTTCTCTCAAAAGTACATAAAACTAAACTCATTCCAAGGAATTTTATAGATGGCAAATGAGATATTTGTGATCGAGGGTGACTTGGAAAATTGGTTGCTTGCGTTTTACTTGTTTAGTCAAGCGTGGCCTCAGACAGCACCGTGAGGATTCCCATAGGCATTTAACACAAATGTTGTTGCTTTGAAAGGGAATTAGAACTGGCAGTGCCACAATTTCATTTGGCATAACTGAAATGTCACAGTAATCTCTGTCTTACTGTTTACTGATACTTTGACGCAACTGTCCTACATCAAAGAAAAAAGAAGGCTCTTATGTAAGTGAGCTAAATATTGTGGTGCCGAGGAGTCCAGATGCACTAGTGACCAGCGTCTGAATTCGTTCAGTTATCTAAAATGCTTTACGATAACAGTTTATTACCCACTATTTCTCATTTTCAGACTTTTCTTCATGCTTATGTGTCTTAAAGTGACAAAAAAAAGAAAATTCTGTCATTATTCACTCACACTCATGAAATCCTCTGACTTTCCTCTGTAGAACACAAAAGAAGATATATTAAGATAATATTAAGAATTTGAACATTTTTCAAAAGAAATACTAAAGTAATTATCCAGTAATAAAGTAATTATCTCTCAGAGTCTTAGTTTCCTACAGAAAAACATAAATGAAATAAATAAATAAAATAAAATGGGAACAAATATATATAAAACAAGTCAAAAAGGTGTAACAAATGTAAACATGAACTGCATCCTCTGTTTCAAAGAAGATGAATATAAATTGAGGTATTTATTCACAGGCCTTCTTGTCTATGATCTAAAAATTCAGCTTGAAAGGAATCGTTGCTTTTGTCTATTCTCGGCACTCAGTCATTTAAATGCACAACCGTGCAAAATACAGTCACATTTGCATTTGAGGACAGCATTATAGTCCTCTCTTTAGCAGGGGTTTTTAAAGAATAATATTTTATTATTTTTGTAGAGGTAGCATAAAAGCAATCCTGCTGAAATGTGGTAGGTCTGTTTATATGCACACACATGTAAAAAAAAAATACATTAATCATAAAAAATCTAAAAAACTATTTTTAACATATTTATTTATATTAATTAAATCTTGTACACAAAATCATAAGTCTAATATAAAACACATCTAAAAATGTATCTGCATGTCTATAATTATGTATTAATCAGGATCAAAAATCTAAATTAGAATGTGTTCAAAACACTTTATGGACAGAACTGACATGACATTTCTTGTATGGTAGTACATATCTGTGTTCAGTTTACTGAATTTAATTAATGTCACGAAGCAGAACTGAAATGGCACCAGGCCTGGCTCAAATATCAAATAGTTAGACAATATGAATGATATTAATGCTTAGATATTTAATATCAACGCCAGCAAAAGCTTGTGTAAAACTGAGAAAAAAAGAATTGTGTTATATCAGTTTGCTAACAAAGCTGGCATGCAATGACAAATAGGTAAGATCACGAAATGTGCGCAATGATTGTCATGACAACGGCAACGTTTATGGCAACGGTACCAGTGAGCTCCAGGATAGAGCAAATCCGCTGCAGCCCTGAGGCGACATGTTATTTTACCTGCTACAAATAACGAGCACAACTGGATTTCACTGACGCAAAAGGGTTCATTTTGATTTATTATCAGTATTATGAACTTTTTGAAATCTAAATCTTAGCGTGGGACTTCGTCACTCTCTGTACGTCACTGAAAAGTGATGTACAGGCATCATGATCGCATGCTCAAGAACTCAAATTACACATGCTGCATATATTTGCCAAAATGGAAACCAAAGGATTTTCAATTGTATTTGTTGATAAATGAAATAGAAAAGTAATGTGTTTTACTTCATGGTGTAAATTTACCAATAGGTTACATAATGAAGTTTAATTGGAGCTTTAGAGGAGCATGTACTTTAATAATCCTAAAAGAGCTGAAAATGTCCATGGTTGTATGATTTCCATGGAAAATCGCAGCAATTCTGTGGCTATTCTGATCAGTTTAACCCTGGAGCCAGGCCTGAGTGTTGCCCGCATTCAATGTGCCATTCAAAAACCAAGCCTTACCACAGGAAGCTCCGGCACTACAGATGCGTTCCCAGTTCCTGTGACTTAACTGATGGGAGGAACGGGAGGTAGTGGAGCAGTTTGAACCTCTGAATAAAGTTTGTGCAGAAAGGCAGATTGTAACAGGAATGATCGGTGACGTGTATTTGAGATCCTTCATGAACCGTCTTCCTCCAGCTCTTTATTCCTCTTTCTTTTTCTGTTCCTAAGAAATTATTAAAATTATTAATTATACCAACACTACATTGACACAACTAGAAAGCAGACAAAGCAGATATTTAAATCTTGCAACCAGGAAATGCATTCATTGAAAAACATTTCAGCCAAGTAATATGCAGTTTTAAAAAATTAAAGGTGTTTTATTGGCTTTCATGTTTCCATGAGGAACCATCCAAGGAACCTTTCCATTGCACAAAAGTTTCTGTATTGTGCAAAATTGTTTATTAGATTATTAAAATGTTCTTCATATTAAAAAAATGGTTCTTTCAAAAACTGATCACTGATCAGAATGCTTCTATTAAAAAAACCTTTTGGAACCTTTTTTAAGGTGCTTTATGTTATAAATGTAAAAAAAATGTCTTTGTTTTGGTCTGTGAGATTCCACCCACTGGCAGTTTAGTATAGTATTTATTTCAATAGTATTTCACCCCAGGTTGCCAGTTGCCGGAAAACACAGCATTCTGCAGCCATGAAAGCCAGCAAATGAACTGGGTCTTTTTAGATTCTACCCAACCTCAAAAGCCTCGGCATCCATCTAAAAAGATCTATGACCAGAGGCAAATTAAAACAGATAAATTAAAGGCATAGTTCACCCAAAATTTATTCACTCTCAAGCCATACTAGGAGAAAATATGACTTTCTTCTTTCAGAGTTATATTAAAAATGTCCTGGCTCTTCCAAGCTTTATAATGGCAGTGAAAGGTGGTCGAGATTTTGAAGCCCAAAAAATGGCACCCTTCCATCGTAAAAAGTGTCCCACATGGCTCCAGGGGGTTAATAAAGGCCTTCTGAAGTGAATCAATGCATTTCTGTAAGAAAAATATCCATATTTAAAACTTTATAAACCACAATCTCTAGCTTCCGCTAACTGTCGTGCGCACGTTCACGAGAGAGTGGCGTTCCAGCGGATGATGTAGGCGTAGTGTAATCTCTGGTGAGAATATGCTAGTCTCGCACAAACCATGTTTTAATAATAATAATAATAATAAACTTTATTTTCTACAGCTCAAAGCGCTTTACACGGATAAAAAGGATCAAATAATAATAATAATAGTAATAGAAATAATAGTAACAATAAATAAAATAAACATCATACATATGACAGAGAAATCACTTAAAAGCTATTCTGAAAAAATGGGTTTTAAGAGCAGATTTGAAAACACTAAAAGATTCAGCCCTTCTGATCTCAATGGGAAGAGAATTCCAGAGTTTTGGTGCACAGGAAGAAAAGGCCGTATAATAATAATAATAAACTTTATTTTCTACAGCTCAAAGCGCTTTACACGGATAAAAAGGATCAAATAATAATAATAATAGTAATAGAAATAATAGTAACAATAAATAAAATAAACATCATACATATGACAGAGAAATCACTTAAAAGCTATTCTGAAAAAATGGGTTTTAAGAGCAGATTTGAAAACACTAAAAGATTCAGCCTGTCTGATCTCAATGGGAAGAGAATTCCAGAGTTTTGGTGCCCAGGAAGAAAAGGCCGTAAACGAGTAGGGGGGCCCACTAAAAGACCAGAATCGGAAGAGCGGAAATCACGACTTGGAATATAAACAGTTAACAGTTGAGACAAATAATGTGGTGCCAAACCATGCAAGGCCTTGTAGGTCAGAATGAGAATTTTAAAATCAATCCGATACCTGACAGGGAGCCAGTGGAATGACTCAAAAACGGTGAGATGTGCTCATTTGTCCTGGTCCTTGTCAGGATTCTAGCGGCTGAATTTTGAACGGACTGCAAGTAAGGCATTACAGTAGTCGATACGAGAAAATACTAAAGTGTTAATCAATTTTTCAGCAACTGAGAGGGATAACATGGGGTGGAGTCTTACAATGTTTCTGAGATGAAAAAATGAATTTTTAACTGTATTTTGAACTTTCTGATCAAAAGTTAGATTAGTGTAAAATATCACCCCCAGATTTTTTAATTTAGTTTGAAACTCTAAAGCCGTGCCTTCCCCTTTTAGAGCAAACTTAACGGTTTTACTGTTTTGTTTACAGCTAAGGAAATAATATTACTGTCTCCGCTTGGCTCCTCTTGGCTTATATCAAAATCCTCTGACATTTTTCTGTACAAATCCTCACTTTGCACTTCTAATTCGTGACCGGTGTGTTGTTTTGCTCTTCCCTCTGCGCTTCCGCGTTCATCACTTCTCAACGTCCTACGTCATCCGCTGGAAGAAGCTAGAGATTACGGTTTATAAAGTTTTAAATATGGATATTTTTCTTACACAAAAGCAGCGTTTCGCTTCAGAAGGCCTTTATTAACCCCCCAGAGCCATGTGGAGTACTTTTTACGATGGATGGGTGCACTTTTTTGGGCTTCAAAACCTCGACAACCATTCACTGCCATTATAAATCTTGGAAGAGCCAGGACATTTTTTGATATAACTTCGATTGCATTCATCTGAAAGAAAAAAGTCATATACACTTAGGATGGCTTGAGTAAATCATGGGGTAATTTTCATTTTTGGGTGAACTGTCCATTTAACTTTAATTACAGTGTAAGGCTTGTCGTCTTCCATTGCCAGTGTCCTCAATCTGGCAACCCATGTGAGTGTCGAGTCTGAGGAGGATATTCAGGAGGATACTCTCCAATATTTTGAATTTGGACCACAGTACCCATTTCAGCCGCTAGCTGTCAATATTACATACTGCACCTTCAAGAGTGTGTATTCATTAGCATTTCCTGTTGCGTTCACAGATGTATATTTTTTATTGAATAACGACTTTCATATGGCTTTCAAAGAGTCGGAACGAGTCGTACAAAGAACTTTTGACCATGACATGGCCCTGCAGATTAACATGCCCAACAGTCATGTGTTTTTACGACTTACCTGGTATTGTGTTGTCCAAAACAAATCCAAAGAATCCACCAATGAACATGTGGGTGGTGAAGAGAATCATTATGAGCTGATCCAGCTCTTTTATGCCTGTTGACAGATACAGAACCTCATCAATATAATTCTATATAGATAATCTTATTTATAAAAGAATTATAATTTTTTTTACAAATAAATTTTTTAATAATTCTATTTTTATACAGTATATATATATAGTCTCGGTCCTGTGACATTTATATCAAAGCAATCAAGATTTAATAAAAAACAAATTTTTGTGTGAATGCCTAGAGTGTTCCTGCAAGATCTGGTTAACATCACGAGCAAACTCTTTGTCTGCTGTCCAGGTTTGGGTTCTTTTGATCTTTTTGGCCATACTACAAGGTACCCATGTGTTCAAGGATTACTACCAGCAGTCTATCTAAAACAGCACTGACACTGAATGATCATATTATGATCTTTTATAATGAGATCTACAAGTTGTCTGTAGTTTTAACTATTGCCGTTACTGACTAATACCACTTCTTTATATACCCCATTACTGAGGAGTTAAATGCTTGTGTAAATTTGTATGTATTCTAATGTTATATTCACCTGTGTTGATCGTGCCTGGATTCGAGTGAAACCAGGTTGGGAGCACAAGACCACTGAAGGTTGAGAAGCCAAGAATCAAGAGATTCCTGGAAGAGTTCAAATCCACATACTGCAAAAAAAACAGTAACATAAAATGAAATATGAATGAGATGATGACTAATTAGTATGTATTTATTTAGAAGAAGTCACCCTGACATGCAATTTTAAAATAATGAAATGAAAAATGAAATAAAAATATATGACGACTATCAGGTGTACCTGCAGATTGGAAATTCCCACTGCTGCTACCATCCCAAACATGACAAGAAACATTCCACCGATGACGGGGTCTGGAATAGTTATAAAGACTGCGCTGAATTTACCAAAGAGTCCCAAGATGATCATAAGAAGCCCAGCAGTCTGAAGTACCAATCTGCTGCCAACCTGGCACCATTAAAGGAAAAGTCATCCAAAACACTGTCATGAAACCCAAACCAAACAACCAAAAAACTTTTTTAAAAATGTAGGGAATGTTATCATTTTCATTCCCATGAAATGGAGACAGATTAAGAAAAAAGATTAAGATAGAGCTGTAAAACACAACTCGGCATGTTTAACATTTAAGAACAGAGAGAAAGTCTTTAAAACATGAATTTTTAAAAATAGCACTACCCCGAGAAAGCTGCATTACAGATGTTTAAACATTCCTCAAAAAATGACATTAATGTCATGGGTTGCCTCCTTAAGCACAAATGACGGCTTGAAGCTGTTTGTAATAGATGAATCCCTCAATTGCCCTAAATAGGTAAGAGTTCAAAAGTGCAGAGGCTGCTCAGAAACCAAAATAATTTACAGGATCTGGAGGATTTTTGAGAAGAGTGGGCACCTTCACTGCTCAGGACTCATGCACAGGAACGATTATAAAAGGTACAAACAGTCATTGAGAAGGCACCACTGAATGTTAAGATCCTAAACAGCTTGAACTTCTGAACAGGATATCCTCAGGATGACTTGCAGATTCTTATATATAAGTATATCCAACTTTATCCACATACATACAGTATACTCAGATAAAGCACATAATATATTGCAAATCTCAACTGCTTGATTGTTTATATTGTCACAAAACGTAGCCTATATTTTCATCGAGCTCTAATCTACAAACTATAAAGTGTAAATATATTAATATATTATAAACATCAACAATGATTCTCTGTGCTGCTTTGAAACAATGTGTATTGGGAAAAGCACTATGTAAAATAAGATTTGACTTGACATGCAACATGGATGGCTACTACACTACTACTGTTTTTGAAATAAGTCTCATAAGAATCTCACCAAGGCTGCAATTTCTTGATAAAAATACAGCAAAAACAGGAATATTGTGAAAATATTATTACAGTTTAAAATAAGTATTCTTTATTTAAATATATTTTAAAATGTAATTTATTCCTGTGATGCAAAGCTGAATTTTCAGCAGCTATTACTGCAGTCTTCAGTGTCACATGATCCTTCAGAAATCTTGCTGATTTGCTGCTCAAGTATTAATAACGGTTCTTATTATCAAAACAAAATATTTTTGCTGATTATCATTTCTGTGGAAACCTCGCTATATTTTTTCCAGGATTCTTTGATGAATAGAAAGTTGAAAAGTACAGCGTTTATATGAAGTAGAAATCGTTCATAACATTATAAATGTATTTAATGTCACTTTTGATCAGTTTAATGTCTATGCTGAAAAGAAGAATTCTCTCTCTTTTTTTCTTACTTAACCCAAACCTTTGAATCATGGTTTGAATCATCAGTGTATCATGGTTTCCACAAAAATATCAAGCTGCAAAAAACATGTTTTTAACATTGATAAAACTAATAAATGTTTCTTGAGCATCAAATCAGCATATTAGCAATTCAGCTTTACTTTCACAACAATAACTTATACATTTATTTAATATATTACTTTACATTTTTATAATATAAACGTATATATATCACAATATTACAGTTTTACTGTATTTGTTATATATATTTAATAACATATCACAATATTACAGTTTTACTGTATTTGTGATCAAATAAATGCAGTCTTGGTGAGCATAAGAGACTTTTTTTAAAAAGAAAATTATGCCAAACTTTTGACCGGTGGTGTACTTAAGTGTGATTTCAGGAGAGTCAAAGTTTTAGTTGAAAAATAGCATAAAAGTGTTGAAATAACAAATAACTTGCTTTGTTAATGTACAACAGAACTGAATTTGAACAAGGTGTTGGTGGCAACAACAATGAAGATAGTTATAGGTATTATTATCAATAAACAGACAAATCCTACCCTTGTAATTCCCAGAGCGGCGATATTCTGACTGTAGGAGGTGGTGCCATTCCCACTACCCCACAGGGCAGCCAAGATGCAACCCACGCCTTCCACCGCAATGCCACGGTTAATAGCATGCGTGGGCGGTGGAGGCGCTCCAGAGAGACGAGCGCATGCATAATAGTCTCCAATGGACTCCATTGTTGAAGCCAGTACTCCAGCCATCATGCCCAGTACAGACGACACACTCACAGTCGGTGAACCCCACTGTCCTAAAAAAGCAAGGGTTAAGAGATGAGCAAAGTTCCTTTGCAACAGTAACATTCTCCTTAGTATACTTTATGATGGAAATAAAAATAATAAGTACATCGTTTTTACACTGACATGCTGAGACTAATACTTTACATGTTTATGAGGTTACTAGGAAAATAATTTTCCTTTGGATTGCTTTTCTTTCTTATAGTGTCATGGAAGCATGTTTACTTTGACTCCTATCCAAAATTGTACAAGATTTTAATCAAATAAATAACTAAAATACCAGATTTTAATAAGACTTTCTGAGTAATACGGAAGTGTTTGTTTCTCAAGGCTGTGAATGACAGATAAATTGGTATTTAGCAGAAGCCAAATGAAATGAAAGTTCAGAGGGTTCATTTGACAAATGCAAAAGAAAAAAAAGTATCATGGTTTCGACAAAAATATTAAGCAGCATCAGTTTTCAACATTTATTATAAGACATGTTTCTTGAGCAGCAAATCAGCATATTGGAATGATTTCTGAAGGATCATGTGACACTGAAGACTGGAGTGATGATGCTGACAATTCAGCTGTGATTCACAGGAATAAATTACATTTAAAAATATATTAACACAGTAAACAGTTCTTTTAAAATCATTAAAAAACTTACTGACCCCAAACTTGTATATGTTTTAGTAAAATAATATATAATATTTATTACATAATATTTACTAAAAACATATAATTATTTCTTATTGTAAAGATTTTACCTCTATCTAAAAAAATACATAAATGAATATTTAATACACTCTGACATCCTTAAAGGGATAGTTCACCCAAAAATTTAAATCACCCCATAATTTACTCACCCTCAAGCCACCCTAGGTGTTTATGACTTTCCTCTTTCAGACGAATACAATCTGAGTTATATTAAAAAATGTCCTGGCTCTTCCAAGCTTTATAATGACAGTGAATGGCTGTTGAGATTCAATAGTTCAATAGAAGCCCAATAAAGTGCATCCATCCATCATAAAAAGTACTCAACACGGCTCCGGGGGGTTAATAAAGGCCTCCTGAAGTGAATTGTTGTGTTTTTGTAAGAAAACTAAGAAGTGATGAACGCGGAAGCACAGAGGAAAGAGCAAAACAAAACACTGACCACGAATTAGAAGTACAAAACTAGGATTTGTACAGAAAAATGTTGGAGGATTTCAATATAAGCCAAGTGGAGACTGGTTTCCTTAGCTGTAAACAAAACTTGGTTCTAGCCAGACTAGCATCTTCTCACCGGAGCTTACGCTACGCTAAGTAATAACTCTGATTGTATTCGCCTGAAAGAAAAATGTCATATACAGTTAGGATGGCTTGAGGGTGGGGTAACTATCCCTTTAAAGGGGTCATATGATGCTGCTAAAAAGAACATTATTTTGTGTATTTGGTGTACTGAAATGTGTTTATGCGGTTTAAAGTTAAAAAAACACATTATTTTCCACATACTGTACATTATTGTTTCTCCTCTATGCCCCGCCTTTCTGAAACGCGTCAATTTTTACAAAGCTCATCGGTCTGAAAAGCGAGGTGTGCTCTGATTGGCCAGCTATCCAGTGCGTTGTGATTGGCCGAATACCTCAAGTGTGTGACGGAAATGTTACGCCCCTTAACATATTTTGATGCACTGTCCGGCCGGAGTGTACAGTGTTGTAAATACAACTTAAGCACTGATTTCTAGTCGTGTCCTCTTTTGCAAGGCCAAACAAAGTGGTTTCGCTTTCACAACGAAAAAGCGTCACACACCGCGCGGCCTTGAGTGAGCAGAGGCCGGAGGTCTAGAGTGAGCCGTGGCCTTGAGTGAGCGGAGGCCGGCTTGAGTGAGCAGAGGCGGGCGGGCTTGAGAACGGCGCGGCCGGCGGATTCGACGAA